GAAAGATAAATATTCTGCTTCTTCGCATTATTGATTTACCGAAGTTCAGAAAAAATATATTTTGTTCTCAACCTCGACAGTAGGTTTACGTGAATACCGAGATTTACGCTTCGGCCGAATTAACCCTGAGCATAGAGAATGTTCCGGATACATCTTTGGCTGGGCGGTATTTACTACATGTACAGGTAGCCCTCGATTTACGCCGGGGATGCGTTCCTGGACGAACCGGCGTAAATTGAAACTCTTTTATAATGTAAATCAGTGGTAATTCAATGACATGCTTTCCCAGCACCCAAACATTGACGAGTAACATAATGGAATTACATTTAAAGCTCTCAAATACGTAAATAAAAGAAAGGGAATTTAAAAATATATTTTATACACTTATAATCGGCAATTCGTTGGTCCCCGCGATTGACTGTGATTCTTTCATGTGATTGATGTGTACAGTCATCTCTGCTGTTATGTGATAGTTGCATGCATGTAAAACGCCGACCTATAGAAAATCGCGTAGTAAAAGTAACCCCTTGACCTCCGCAGATATTAAAGTAGACCTTTGAAAGCTTAAAGCTCCAGGAATGAAACTGCACAAGAGCAAACTTGCAAATGCAAGAGTTTGCATTTCACAAACAGCTTTTAATGATTCATCGATCTCATTGGAGCAAATTCGCGTTAACGAAACATACGTAATTGCAGAGATGACTATGTTAATAATTTTTATTCAAAATCAGCGATGTAAGAATTACGATTTAGTATAAAAATCAGTACGAGAAATATTGTAAAACGTTATAAATAATAGTAAAATAATTTTTTTTCACGTTTTGACTTTCTGATTTCAGAATCATGTTTATTCTGAATCGGCGCAAATTGGACCGACGCAAATCGAGGTATACCTGTACGTAACCCTTTAATACTCAGTGAGAAGTGTATGTACAAAGTGTTTTTACATTCAGTAACTACATTTTATATTTATTGGTATTTTATATTTCTCAGTGTAATAGGCTATTATTTCCTTAAACAGCGACAATAAATTGATTAACTGGCAGAATTCCTTGGATTACGGATTAGCCTGACGCAAAAGGTACTTACACTAACAACACAAATAAAAGAGAGTCAACCGGAATTCGAACCCGCTAACACAGTGTAGATTTATCCTAGATCGTGAATTTATTACGATTATAGATTGTTTATATTTTAAAATTAATGTTTGTACATGAGATATTTCAATTAAATTTTATAATAATGAAAACCGATAAATAATTCAATAAAATCTCTTTTCGCTTTTACCCTCAACATTAATCTTCTTCAATAAAATCTTCTTGGGCAATCAGCCGCGTTAACTGGTTACCGTGGTAAACCGACGTTTCGGGAACCAACTCCGTCCCCATCATCAGGGTTCTGATGTTACTGGATATCTCGGAAGTCGCCAATCACATCAGAACCCTGATGATGGGGACAAAGTTAGTACCGAAACGTCGGTTTACTACGGCAAACAGTTAACGCGGCAGATTGACCGAGAAGATTTTGATTGTACTCACCGCGAAAGTCTCAATACCTATTTTTTTTTTTTTTTTTTTTAGGTCTCTATTTGAATTTAGACCGTCTTGTGTGTTAGTTTGCTCACTTGTTTGTTTATCTCCTTCAAAATACGTTTTCCGTAATAAAGGAAGTGTAGTTTTATCCAAAAACAATCTAAAACCACACGGAACATGCAGTGGTTTGTAGGGATTACATGCAG